TTATGATTGTTTTGGGTACTTCATCACTAGTGTGATAAATTACTCTTGCATCCTTACATGCAAGTCCTCTTACCTGGTTTCCATAGACCCACGGTTCCTGGATCAATACGATCCCTAATTGATCTTTAGTGAATGTCCTAGATATCACAGCCGAGGCTCCCTTGGCGTGATGGACATTCACTTGGGCGATGTTGATGCCCGCCATTTTTCTCTCCTTTAATGGGGGGTGTTGTCCCCATCGGTGAGGGTGCGTTCCATATCCCCCTCTTCTGCTTCTTCATCAATTTCTACATCCTCAGATGAGTCTACGCAGAGATTTGAGAGGTTAAGGCTCTCTATGCTCTCCACATCAGTCTCATCTCATCTTCGTTCACAAAGGGCCTTTCTGTTATCCTCCTTTTGAAATTTGAAACCCAAGTTATGTATCACTTGCCATAGACTTGTTCTGCCAATGTCGTCAAATTTTCTATTAATTCCGAGAGAATTGTATTTAAGGTCACATGTTCCTTGTTGGTGCTCATTTGATAAATGGTATCACGAATTTCAAATTTCTTTTCATCTGGAATATCTTTCGTTTTCAATGATGGGCGAGTTTTGCGGTGATCTTCTTTCGGCAGTTCACTATTGTGATTTTGTAATACTCTTCTTAATTTGGTTTCACTAATTCCTAGAGCATCGCATACGCGTTGTTGTACAGACATTGCCCATTTTAAAGGACCACCATTTTCTTTTTTATCCGTAAAATATTTATGTACACTACAAATTAAACCATCTACATCTAACACACCTCTCGGCATTCTTAAAATTCCACTAAATTTACAATATACATACAATGTCAACACTTGCAAAGAATCAATTCAACTGCAAATTTAGTACCTACCTTACTGTTATTTTAATTTAAATCTGACCATTAGGGCAATTTTACCTAATTTCTTGGGAAGAAGCTTATTGGAACTAATTGTCAATGTGTATGATTCAGTGTATGTATTTAAAGTGATAATGCAATTTAAACTTATAAATATATTTTACGACTGGTTGAATGGCAAGTGCCCAAGTCATTAAAAAAAAAAACATTTGTTTGTTTTATAACCATTTTTCAGCTTTTATAAAATATAAAATTATTTTTTGGGGAATTTGCGTATTTTTTCAGAAATAAATACACTTTAAGTATATATCACATTTATTAGAACTAAAGTTTTATTACAAACATTCAACTTGGAAAATAGAATGGAAAATATTATACAATATTCGATTTTTAAAATTTATTTAATCACAAATTCTTCTAAAGCATAATCTAACATTCAAAATATAAATAAAATAATTTAACTATATACAAATTGAAAAATAATATTAATTTATTAATTGTTTTTTTATTTATTAAAATGACCATTTTGAGGATATTCATTTTGGGGATATCCAGTTTGGCGATATCCATTTTGGGGATATCCATACATATCATTTTCATAGTTTCCCATAGAACGTTGATAGTTGTTCATGTTCATATTGTACGATTCCTCATGTGGACATGAACAATATTCTGTTCCATGAATTTGTTGAATATTAAACATATCTCTGACGTGTCGAACAAGATCTTTCAGAGGAAGATTCATATGGTTATGATTGTTATAATGACCTAAAAATATAGATAAAACTTAGTATGGCCTCTGAAAATGTAAATCTTTATTGTAATTACCCATTCCTCCTCCTCCTCCTCTTCCTCCTCTTCCTCCTTCTCCTCCTTTTAGTATATGAGCAGCAGTATCTGCCAAATCATCAACAAATTTATTGGCAACTCCATCAACCATTCCATTAACCAATCCATCAACTAATCCAGGAGAGGGAGATGCTGTTCCAAATGTTAATAAAAAGGCTAACATGATCTGAAACAATAGTAAATGTAAATTATAGTATATAGATGGGAAACATTTTATACGAATATATTTGCAATTTAAAGCAAAGATAGTTTTAAACGATTATATGACAACAGGGAAGATTTTTTATCCTGGATACTCTAAGCGGGATTACACTGAAAATTTCATACTTTTCAACCAATAAGATGCCTTAATTTTGACTAGTTACGATGGCAAGTAAAAAAAATTCCGGAAATTTTTTCGAGACGCCACGATATTTAAGTGGACATTTTTTGACAGTTGAAAAGGTAAACATATGATCTACAACCGTTAAATAATGTAGATATACCTGTAAATAATGCAAAATTTCTATATGAATTAACAATATTATTTATTATTCGCTATTAAGTTTAATTAAACAGAAAACAAATTTATTTATTTCAAAAAACGTAAGATGTACAAACATAGTAAGATTTAAATGTTACTTGAATTCTAACCCATCCTTTCTTCTTAAGAGCAAACATGACGGGCGCTCCTTCGCCTAAAATCAATTAAGGCAGTTAAAAAAAGTTGTAAAAAAAATGGTTCATAAAGATTACCAATTTTAAACAGGACCGAAGATTAACATAGTTTTCATTCCTATACTAATTCTATTAAAACAATGATACCAGTGAATATGGCAACGCTGCTAGTCTATGAAGCCCGTGGTTAAAAGGGTAGCTGGTGTTTAGTTAAATTTGTTAATTCCTGTGTCGAAAAATAGGTAGTTGTTTTTGAAGAGGTGCGAAATTATTGTGATCGTCTTAGTTTGTTGTTGAGGCGTTGTTAGGTTTTTATTTAATTTAGTTTTTAGTTAATTTATGAAATAAAAAATTCTGGAAGGCAAAAATGCACAGCTGACAAATTTCTATTTTATTTGTTTGCTGCCAGAGTTAGTAAATCCTAGAGAAATACGACATGTGCCAATTAGGGAAAAGAAATTGTCAAAAATTTTACCCGCTTAAAAAAATATGTAATATACAGGGTGTTTCTAAATACATGCGACAAAATTCAGGAGGTGATTGCTCGTATGAAATAAAGATGGGTCTTTCCTATAACAAAATTTCCTCAGTCCACCCCTTTTCGAGATATCACCCTTAAAAGGTGGTGACTAAAATTGAGTTTTTATTTTTTTTCTAAAATTTCAGTAAAGCTAGAAACTTGAAATTCTCTAATCGCAAAGGACTAACCACGGGTATTTTTTTAATAATTCTGTTACATTATAGGGGGGGTGAAATTAGCAACACTTACTTTATTTCATATCAAAACTTTTTTTCGAGATGAACTTTTATGAAATAAAATTATAACTTCAAATCCTTGTTTTATTTATTTTTTTTTATTCTTGAATTTTTTCCCAAAACCAATAGCTTCAGAGAAAAAAAATCATTTTTTTAAATAAATTAAGTGGTTTTTGGAAAAAAATTTAAAAATAAATTTTTTTTTTTTCAATAATACAATTTCATAAAACTTCACCTCGAAAAAAAGTTTTAATATGAAATAAAGTAAAGGTTGCTAATTTCACCCCCCTATAATGTAACAAGAATATTGAAAAAATAACCGTGGTTAGTCCTTTGCGAGTGCACGAAAATTACAGAATTTCAAGTTTCTAGCTTTACTGAAATTTTAGAAAAAAAATAGAAACTCACTTTTAGTCACCACCTCTTAAGGGTGATATCTCGGAAAGGGGTAGGCTGAGGAAATTTTGTTATAAGAAAGACCCATCTTAATTTCATACGAGCAATCACTTCCTGAAATTTGTCGCATGAATTTTTAAACACCCTGTATGTTGGTATATTAAGGTGAATGCAGCAGCCTTTATAATTTTTGGACAAAGATATTTCAAAAAGTAATTTTGTTAAAAAATTTAAATTTTGACAAAATAAATTAGGTAATATTAACTAGATATACCTATATTTTAAAGTTTTAATTCCCTCCAGTTTCCGAGAAAAAAAATCAAATATGATAATGAAAATAAATGCATTCCTCAACAGCACTATTCTTAATATAATCCCGAAATTTAAACTCTTAACGTCTTGGTAATGATTTTTTAAAATTGGCCAAAGTTAGTGGCTAAAACGCCTCGTTAATTTTGGCGAATTTTAAGAAATCATTAACAAGACATTAGGAGCTTAAATTTGGGGATTATATTAAGAATAGTGCTGTCGAGGAATGCATTTATTTTTAATATGATATTTCAAAATTAAAGCCATTTTAGTTTTTTTCGGAAACTGGAAGGAATTAAAACATTAAAATATATGCATATTCTAGATATTATTGCCTAATTTATTTTGACAAAATTTAAATATTTTGAGATATTCTTGTCCGAAAATTATAAAGGGTATGATCACCTTAAGATTGAAAGAGAATTAGCTTTAATTCATGGGATGCAAAGCATTATAATTGTCGCGTCACAAAAACCACCTGCTGTCAAGAAAAAATTGTGATTCAACGGTATTGTATATTTTGTGTTATAAAAGAGAAAAAATTAACATTTCATGTTTTAATAGTTACTTTTTTAATTTAATAATCTATGTGAAAAAAAAATTTTTTTATACAGACATTAAATAGTATATTGTTTTATTAGGAGTAAAAGTATAACCACAACTTATATATACAATACAGCTAAAACACTCTCTTGGCGGCAACGGTTTGCGTCGATTTCGTCGCGCATCGCTTAAGCTCCGCCTTCGAAGGGAAAAGACGGTTTTGGCGTTCAGAAGCGTACTTAGGCAAGGTGTTGAGTCGTGCGTATAATTTCGTTGATTGTATAATTTCGTGGAGCCTATAATTTCGTTGATTTTGTTTGAGTTAAAGGTACTGTTATTATTTTGGTGACTCTTTAACTGTGAGTAGAATGAGTTTGTGCAGTCAAAAGCTGTTTTAATAAGGGTTATACCTGCAAGAAAACATTCTTTAGTTTTCCCAAGGACCCAAACCGATAAGTACTACATTATAAGAAATTTTCATTGTTAAAAATATAATTTATACAGGGTGTCTCATTAGTGCGTTATTGTTCATTATTTTGTTGTAGACACGCAAGAAAGTTTTAAATAAAAGTTATATGGATTTGAAAAATACCTACATATTTTAAAAATATCTTTGGATATACAGGGTGTCACGTTTTTGCCTGGAAAATTAAAATGTATGTTTTTTAAATGGAACACATTGTATTTTATTTTATGATGAAATTATTAACACCCTAAATTATTGTAAAGACGAATTGCTACAGAAAAATTTTATCAGGTATGTGTGTGGTTACCTTTTAATAAAAGCCTTGCGGATCCACTCCTGCGATACCTGTCTTAAATATAACAAAGATCACGTTGAATTAGACGATTTTTCTTTTTATTGCTTTTAAAAGGCATATGATAACGCCAATTCAGATACATTTGGAAATCTGCAACTGTCAAATGATGAATTTGTAGAACTAATATTCAATATTGAAAAGATATTTTAAAATAATTTTGAAGAATTGGCTACAAAAAATAACATTTGTACCACACTTTTAGAATTAATTAACCCAATACCCTTTAGTCATCCATGCTAACGTTTTCCAAAAGAATAACTTATTTTATTGTATGTTTAATCTCAATAACTAAAAAATATACTGACAATTAGTTTGACAGAATTGTCATTTATTTAAAATTTTAAAAATAATAGCAGTCGGTTGATCAAAATATGAACGGTGATTGGCGAATTTATTTTTTTTGCAGTGTTCTCACTACCTAGAATGGATATGAAATATATTCGTTCAATTGAAGGCAATAGCATACTTTTTCGTTTTGTAATCTGTGCATGGATATTAGCCAATCTACGCACATACTACAAAACGAAAAATTATGTTATTGCGTTCAACTACGAATATATTTCATATCCATTTTAGGTAGTGAGAACACTTTAACAAAATTAAATCTACAAATCACAGTTCATATTTTGGTCACCCAACTCCTATTATTTAAAAATTTTTAAATAAGTGATAATTCTGTTAAACTAATTGTCAATATATATTTTAGTTATTGATATTAAATATACATTAAAATTTTTGTGTAGACTCGATAAATAATAGCATTTTTGTTTTTATTATGTCCACATTTAAAAAAAATAAATTTTAATCAAACTACATGATACTAATTTAATTACGAGTATTAAAACTAAAGTCCTGAAAGTTTCGGTGAAGATGAGGACAGAACATCTGCCTTCCATGCGAAAAGCCCGGGATCGAATCTAGGCCGAGGACTAATTAATTTTTTATGTTTATTTTATTTTATAAATTAGTCAACTTCGTAAATTATTTTAAAATTAGTTATTTTGTCTAAATAACCTAAAATAATTTTTTAAATTTGTAGATTTTCGTTAGTGGGTCGTAGAAAAAATATACTGACCATATCGAGTGGATTGTTCATATCACAATCATACGATTGAATACTCCGCCTACGACGTCGTGCTCAAACTTCGTCTTTGTGTGATATGGCTATCATATCCACCCTTGTTGAACAAACTACAATTTATTTGTTTTCTTGGTTTAAGTTTTACATCAGAAATAAGAACTAAATTAATTTGCTTTTCAAGTTTTCTTGTAAAAATCGATATTACTTTCTCCAAGTACTAATTTAGTACTTACCTAAAATAAGTACTAATTATGTAATATCGTGTAATATTGTAATTCAAATTTCACATTACTATAAAGTTTCAAAATTCCCTACTTCGGTATGGTCAGATAAAAATTGAATATATTATATTAATAAAAACTGTTAAAGTATTACTTCTAGAAATCTGTATTTCAATTAATAAGAATATATCTAAATATAACCAATATTGTTAAAATAAAAGCACAAATTCTTTATAATTCCAAAATACCATAGAGTTCCCAGACCTCAGTCGAAGCATTCGTTTATCTAGGTATAAACCCTTTGCGCGAAGAGTAACACTTGCCAGAGACACGGGGTACCACTTGTTTTGCATCCACGAGCGTGACACATTTCTTTAAC